ACCACCCCACCCCCCACCCCCCACCCACACACACACACACACACACATCACATAAATATTAGTTAGAAATTATATAAATTTATTTTTTTTATAAGTAACTTAAACTTTACTTTGTTCCATGCATTAAACATCTAGCACTCAAATATAACTTTATAAATTCTTACATTTAAACTTACGATGTAATGTTAATATTTTCTATTGATTACTGATATTGCAATTAGTTCCCTAATTATATTTCCAGTTGAAAATTTTCGGCGCAAGTCTTTATCTATTTCATTTTGATCATGAAGCACTATTTTGCTCAAACATTTGCACCTACTCGGCGGTAGAATTGACGATGCGATCACGATATCTCGCAACAGTTTCTGTAAAATGAGCATTTACGGCTTTACGGAGACCTATGAGCGACTTGTAATTCGCAATGTGCAAAGACAAACAGGCCTTTCACCGTGTGGCGCTCATATAAAATTTATTCCGCATATCTTGCTAGTGCGAAACCGCTCGTTCTCGATATACAATTATGTAATTTCGATAAAAAGGCGAAGGGATAGGAGAGAACACATTGAAACGGTATGATGTAAGTCAGAGCGAAACAAAAAGCAAACGGCATGGCAGTTACACCCGTCTATCTGCCCATTGGATGTTTCGCCGATTATTTTTTACATATGCTGACCTTTCGTATGACGTCGCGATGACCCGGCCGCGTTAGCTTCCATCAATTTCACTGCGGGCGAAGTCGTTATTAATCGTGCTACATAGCTTTCTCCGGTGAAAGAATATCCATCTTCCTCGATTTCATTCGGATATAAAAACAAAGATGCGACCGTTGACTGCATTGAACATAACACACTGCATCACTTTCGCGATTTGCGATACATTGAAAATAAATTGTTTGATAAATTCTACTCGCCTTGCATATAAGAAATAATATTGTTGTAATAACAGATATGTAATATTGTTGTAATAACAGATGTAAATGGGAAAACTATCTCTAATTTTATTCGTAAAATTATTTTCCTCATTTATTATTTTGCATTAGGTATGCACAGAGAAAACAATTTTGTTGGATATACGTAAATCTGAAAAACAATTTTGCTGGGCCTATTAAAATAAATTGTAGGATATTCAAGTTAGTTGTTAGAATATAAAAAAGTTTCATAATATTTTTCATCATATTTAAATGTCCTATATAATAATTTTGATGATCTAAAAATTAATTTTCAAATTTATCTGATCTAAATTTTTAGATCTTACAGCAAAATCATTCTTTCTGTGTTTTTTATAGCACATATTTTAGCTTCTTTATAGCTACTTGATAGCTTCATGTTCGTGAACTCTCCGTGACCTTGAGCAATGATACTAAACGAATCGCGAGCTGCATGCAAACTGTATATATTGCAAAAGGTTAGGAAGGCTAAATCGAATTATGTGTCTCATACTACAAAATACTAGGAAGGGAAAGGAGGAAGAAATGGAAAGCGCGGTCGAAGCACAACACGTCAGGATTCCACGATAGAAACCGAAATTTCATAAATAATTCCTCGAGCGCATTCCGCGCTCGGCCGACTGTAACGAAGTTCCTTGAAACTTCTTGGCGTTCCTCTTTAGCTTTTCTGCTCTGATCTAGTTGCGACGGCTGTGGACTTCTATTTTCATTGCGAATGATCCGTTTTTCGCTGCGATAAAGGATCGAAACAATCTTCTTGTTCTATTTCTCACTACGCTTGGCATTTGAAATATTTGAAAACGCGTTCCAAGTTAAATCGAACGCGATTTCATAATCGGCATTCCGGATGTTACGAACTCGTTGCAGAGGGACACGCAACATTGATACTGATTTAATAGCTTAATTCGAGTGTAATAATTTGTTATGAGAGAAACCGGAAGAGAAAAAAAAAGAGTAAAGGCCAGTGTTGCGATGTTTTATTTACATGCATTTTAGCCTGCAAGAACTGCAGAGTGGAATTGCAAAAGATCTATTCGACATACTGTTGTTGAGAATATTAATTTTAAAGAATCGGCTGGTAGATAAATAGAAAAAATTATGATTCAAATATACTTAAATACACGATATTTGGTACTTTAAATTATCTGCTTACATATTTTTATTCTTATTCCTAATTTTTAACAATTATTAATTATAATTTATATATCTTATATATGAAAACCATGTTATATTAACCTATATATTAACTTTGTTCTATTGTTTTTTTATGTGCAGTGTAAATCCTAAAAATTTTTTTACGGGAATGTATAATTTTTTTCTAAAAATTAGAGTCTTTTAATATAAAGATTTAGACTTAAAGTAATCTTAAGGTTTAAAACATCTTAAAACTTTGTCACAGAAATAATTGAAATTTTTTAAAAATAATTTTTTAAAATAATTTTCTAAGATTTTCTTTTTTGTTTACAATGAAATTTTGATAATGTACAAAAAAATCTGATATTTTATTTAGAAATAAGAGATTTTTTTTTATCTTTCTTATATTCATTATATAATTAAAGATTTTCATAAATCTTAATTTTTTTCGAAATAATACAAAATGTTTTTTAGCATAAAATTGTATTTTTTTCTTAATTTTATATATTATCTCTTATTTCATATTTTTAATATAATAATGAATACTTTTCATGTTAAAATTATATTTTCAATATTTTTTGAAAAAATTGTTAAATAATGCATGCTTTTTCTGAAATGATAATTTTCTCTTGTAAGATATGATTTTCATTGAAATTTTCAAAAATATTTTGCAAAAATCATTGAAGAAAGTATACACATTATGAAAATCATCATAAAAATCAGAAAAATTTATATTCATTAAACATTCTAAGAAAGAAAAATAATATAAATAAAAATAATATAAATTAAATTTATCTATATTGTGATAAATTTTAATCATTGATATTTCAGAAATTTTTAATATTTTACAGAGAAAAAAAAAACATTGCAGAAATAATTAGAAAATAAATAATTATTTTTAAAAAATTACAGTCTTTTTCATTTTTGTAAACTATAATATTTTTCTGATGGTTCTTACTTTTTTTAAAAAAGTGTCTAAATTTATTTATTTTGTTAAAAGGTATCTCAAATTATTTGAATATTTTTTTCATAATTTTTAAAAAAGTTGAAAAATATTTTTATCAGAGAAAACGTTTCATCTGTCAAAAATTTATTCGACATCTCCAGGTTCAAATGCGAAGGACCTTTTGGTTTCGCACGATAAAAATATCGTGGCGACGTGCGTATTCCGCATCGTTGCGGTCATCGCGGCGGTTGTTAATCACCGTCGCGATTATTTCCTACATATCGTGGCGGCGTCGCGTGCACGTTGCATCCCGGCGACGGCGATGCAACGCCGGGGAAGCACGTGGTGCATCACGCATAAAGTACGGTAATAATCAATCCGGCTTTCGTTCATCGTAATTTTCCCTTAACGACGCGCTCGCTTATGCGGGAGACAAGATTCCGCCATCCGCCATCCGAGCGACGTATCGTCATATCTATAATGGTCCAGATGCACGTATACAGTTGCCTACTTCTTTTCTCACTGTGCGCGCAAAGGAGGTACTTATAGAAGCGTAAAAGCCGGTGATATAATCCCTTAGCGCGTAACACCTGTGTGAATCTCGTGACATTTAGAGCTGCCAGGTCCGTCGCTCGTCTTCCCGCGCGATCTCCGATTTCGTCGATAAATTATCTCTCCAGGTACCGTCCAATCCCGATATCGCTCGCCGTCGCTGTCCGCAGCATCCCGAGCGATCTCAAGAGTGGATCATTTCATAGGCGCGCGCGCGTGTCTTCCAAGAAACGTGAAAGTGTGCGGATCCTCCCACGCGAAAGCCCGGCACGAGACAAGATCCTATCGATCTTTATAACGCTTTATTACCGAGCAATCAGAAAGATTTATATAACTGAGTAATCTGTTAATTAGATGAGATAGCGATCGTTCAAGAGTTTCAGTGATTATTATTTGACAAAACAGCGGAGAGAAA